CCGAACGCAGCCTGGGGCTGGAGCTGCCCTTGGGCAGTGCAGCTGGGTGCCAGCGAGGAGCTGCCAGGCTTTCTAAGGCCCCTTTCACTACAGGGTGGGGTCAGAGCCCCCCCGGACAGTAGCATGGGACCTGACAGACGCAGACAGCCGGGGGTGGGGGGAAGGCCACTCAGCCCGCCAGCCTGTGGCCAGAGCCGTGGCACATGGCCTGAGGGGGCCGGGGTGATCTCGGGCTGTCTTAGGGGCAGGAGGAGCCATTCAGAGCAGGCCCCCGTGGGGCTGCTCTGATCTGTAACACGGGGCCAGCCCGGGGCTGAGCCGGTGGAATCGGGGGCAGCTCCTCGTTGCCTGAGGCCTACTGAATCGCCCGGGATTTCATGACACACTCGAACACATAGGAGTGTTGTGGGCAAGGCACGAGGAGTCGTTCTCCCGCTCTGCTCTGAGCTGACCAGGCCTCAGCGGGAGTCTTGTGTCCAGTTCTGGGCCCCACATTGCAAGAAGGATGTGGAGAAATGGGAGAAGGTCCAGAGAAGAGCAACAAGAATGAGGAAAGGTCTAGAGAACATGAGCTCTGAGGGAGGCCGAAAGAACTGGGCTTGTTTGGTTTGGAAAGGAGAAGGCTGAGAGGGGACATGAGAGTGGTTTTCAGGTGTCTAAAAGGGTGTCACAGGGAGGAGGGAGACAAATTGTTCCCCTTGGCCGCTGAGGACAGGACAAGAAGCAATGGACTGAAACTGCAGCCAGGGAGGTTCAGGTTGGACATTAGGAAAAAGTTCCTGCCTGTCGGGGGTGAGACACTGGGATAAGTTGCCGAGGGGGGTTGTGGAATCTCCCTCACTAGAGAGATTTGAGAGCAGGTTGGACAGACGCCTGCCAGGGATGGGCTAGTCCAGTTCCTCACCCCTTTTTTTAAGTAAAGTACCCCCCCTTTTTCAAAAAAAAAACAAAAAGAGCAGTCCCCCCAGTCCCTACAGTTTTCAGACACACACATTTTTTCTACCGTTGCAACACATTTATTTAAACAACTTAATCGTAGCCGGGTGGGTGCTGAAATTTTGGGTGTAAAAAGACAAAACTAATCAAGTGCTGGAAAACGTACTTAAAACACAAATTCAGTTTTCTCCAGATTTCAGCTGTGTTGATGTGCCCCTCCCCCGACATCTCTCGAGTACCCGAGGTACTCGCGCCGCGGGGTGAGCGGCGCGTGGCCCTGCCGTGGGGCAGGGGGCTGGACTCGCTGCCCCCTCGAGGTCCCTGCCAGCGCTAGGGTGCCAGGGCTCCAGGACCCGCCTGAGGGCTCTTCACGAAGAGGCCAAGTAACAGACTTTTCCTTCCTCTTTCTGGAGGCGGTTTCCGCGCCGCGCTGACTCAGCTCCCCAGACACCCGGGGATGAATAGCGCCCTGCGCGTGGCACCGTGTCCGGAGCAGACAGAAAGCCCCGGCACGTCCCCGCTGAGTGTGACATCACGGGCCACACCCCAGCCGGGCGCGTCCCAGCTCTCGCCCTGAGCTCCTGCATCACCACACCCCGATTCCCGGCAAAGGGATTTTCCCCTGCCAGGGCTGTTTCCACATCTCCCTCACGCCCCCGCCGCGCCGGCCGAGCGAGGCCACAGGCAGCAGGCACCGGACACAGGTAAACACTGCTCTGCGCTTCGCTTTGGCATTCCCCGCCTGCGCTTTCACTGCAGCGGGAGCAAACTGTGGGGCAGCCGGGTAAAAACCCACCCCAGCTCCTCCCCTCTAGTGGCTGCTCTGGGTAAGTGCCAGCTGTTCCCAGCTGTTCCCCAGGGTGGCAGAGTCTCATGCGTTGAATTTTGTGGGTCCCTCCCTGCTGTCAGCCGAAGGGCATCTGGTGACGTTCGCGCCCGTTCCCGAGTCCTTCTCTACCCTGCTGAGTCAGACACTTGCTGCAGATGTTTGGGAACCTGCAGGGGTCTGACTTTTCTGGGAGCCCATGGGAGTTAGAGGCATCTCCCCTCCGGCTGCCTCTGGGCTGCAGGATGCAGCAACGCCCCCCGAATGGCGGCTGTGAGGGTCTCGCGGGGAGGACGGAGTAGATCTAGGCCAGAATTTTCTGGCAATATTTTTTTGGGGTGTGCATCAAAAATGCAGCTTGGTCGACACGGAAGCTGCTTGCCAGACAGGGGAGCATGCTCTGAATGTCCTGCCTCGAAAAAGGGTTGGAGAGAAAAGAGTCCAGGGTTTGGCTTGGCATTTTCCAGAATGAAATTCTGATTCCCAATGGCTGTTTTGGGTCAGAATCGATTTGCTTTGAAGGCAGTTAGCAAAAGGAGCTGTTCGGATAATTTGGAAAGGGAAGCGTTGAGCTGTCCCAAGCCCACAGCTTTGTCCGGCTTTTCCGTTCATGCCCACCACTGAGTCGCTGACTTTCCATCCCAGTCTGGGACGGGTAAAAAGCGTGAACGCCTGAAAATCGATTCCAGGGCCAGGAAAGCCGTTTCCCGCCCAGCTGTAAGCAGGAGGCGGGGCCTTGTCCGCCGTCTCTGCAGGTGGAGTCTGTTGAAGTCAGTGGAATGAGGCTTTTTTACCCAGCTGGGAGTCTGGCTCTCCAAGGCCCCCTGCTCTGGTTCCTTTCCCAATGGGCGTTGCAATGGGGGAGGAGCAGGAGTGAATTCTACGATGTGCGCTTTTGCCTGTGGGGTTAGATGCTTGGGCATGTTGTCTGGGTTTGGCTGGGCTACCCAGAGGCCTTTGAGAGAGGAAGACTTGCTCAGTGGTTAGGGCCAGTGTTACCGTTAATGGTCCCCATCCATGTGCGGAATGAATTTTGTTAAGTGACACTTCACCTCCATCTTGGGGCACATAACAAAATTCCTGTGGCAGGGGCTGCGGCCGAGGGGCTCGGAGAGTGGGAGGGGGCGCAGGCTTTGAGGGTGGCAGGGTGAGGAGTTTGGGGTGCAGGCTGGCCTCAAGGCTGGGGCAGGGGATGAGAGTGCAGGGGGAAGGTTCCAGCTGGGGGTGCAGGCTCTGGAATGGAGTTGGGGATGAGGAGTTTGGGGCACAGGCTGCCCCAGAGCTATGGCAGGCAGAATACTCCCCCAGCCCTCTCTCCCTACAACAGCCCCTGGGCTGGGGGGACATGGGGGCTCCTCTCCCTGGCATCTCCAGCAGGGCTGGACCAGGCGGGCCAGGCTGGGGGCCTGCGTGACCACGCAGCTTACAGGGAACCTCGGTTAGGGCTCTGCTCTGGGACTCAGCAGCTCTGGGCTTACTTCTCCATTCTGCTACTGACTCTCTGCAGGACCTTGGGCAAGTCACTTCATCTTTTGTATCTAGTTTGTGTCATCCTCCTGTGCAAAAGGGGGATGTCCTGTGGGGAGGATGAAAATTGTGGGGCGCTCCCATACCACAGCCAGAGGGGCATTTACATACCGCGGAGGGGGCTGAAGTGGCTGAGACGACTGGCAATGATCCTCTCAGACACGCCCTGTCGAGGCTGAGCATGGCCCCCCCACTCCCGGAGGGGTGTGCAAGGACTGTGCTTAACGGGCAGGCCCCTAGCGAGGCCTTTCTCTTTGGCAAATCCTGCTGGATAAAGCCCTGGAGCCGGCTACCGAAGTCTGGAGGGATTCCCTTGGGTGCCCTGCGGCCGGCTGGGTGGGCGGGTGCTCAGGTGGCGCTGGCTGGTGAGGAAGTAGGGTGTAGTGGTTAGAGAGGAGACCTTGGGGGACCCTATTTCAGTCCTTGCTCTGTCACAGGTATCCTGCGTGTCCTGGGTCACAGGGCTGCCCCTGCACACCCCGGCGCCGGACCCCCCGGGGAATGGGTGCTGTGCAGGGGGAGGGGAGGGCTGAGGCCGGGGGGAAAGCGGGTGCCACTGCCTGGATGGGACAGGCCATTTGCTGCAGTGAGTCTGGGAGAATGGGAGCCTCAGGCGGCTGGAGGGGAGCGGCGCTTTTAGGGGGGAGTCCCCCAGCCTGTCGCCGCCGGGGCAGGGGGGGGCGGGGG